TCCCAATCAAATCACTAAAAGAGCTTTTTCCATTGACCTTCCTAGGTTCAGAGTCCAGGTCCAGGATGAAAATATTTGAGAAACCTTCCCAGTGTTTTCAGCTGGCAAAAGTCTGAAATTGTCACGAGAGGCAGAATCACAGAATTGTAGGAGTTGGAAGAGACCTCAAGAGATCATCCGGTCCAAACCCTCTGCCAAACCTCCCTGGGCAGCCTGTTCCAGTTCTCTGTCACCCTCACCGTGAAGAAATTCTTTTGCATGTTGGTGTGGAACTTCCTGTGATCCATTTTGTGGTGATTGCCCCTTGTCCTATCCCCACAAACCACTGAAAAGAGGTTGGCCAAATCCCGCTGTCTCCCACACGTAAGATATTTGTAAACATGGCAGTTCTTCAAAAGATTCCTGCTCAGTGTTACAGATCCCAAAGTAACTCAAAATAATTCAGATAGGCTTTTGCTTGAATTGAAGTGATTGAGATATTGCTAGTAGTCTTTGAAGCTTTTGCGCTTCTACCACTGTTAGTTCCAGATCTATTTCTATTCTGTGTACAGATATGAATGCTGTTCAGTTAAGTATAATTTAATTTGCTGCACAAGAAAAACACTTTAAAGAATTATTTTTTAGCAAGGTGGGTTTTATTTATTTATTTATTGTCTTTCTTTTTTCTCGATGCCTGTAAAAGTTTATTCCTTCAGTAGACTGGCTTTTGTGTCTGTTATTAATTTCCCCTATTTCCTTTATATTCCATTTTGTGGCACAGTGCACATAAACTTTTAGAGGTCTGTTTCAGTTCTTGAAAATGGTTTCATTTTTGTATTCATTGTATTAAAACACTTATATAGTGTAACCTGGATGATTCTATACCTTTTTAAAAATAATCTATTTAGATAACTTGAGACATGTAGGAGATTATTTGAACTTCATTACTTCATTCTTTTATTTGCTTCCACAAGTAATTTTTCATGTATGTGTCAGAAATTAGTGCTAAATTTAACACCAGTTGTGCTGCATTTATCCAGAAAGTGTTCTTTTCCTTATAGACCTTTGTTCCATCAGGCTTTATTAAATTTGCTCTTTCTAGGACTGGCCTTTTTAAGATTGTCTCATTCTTCATTTACTTATGCTTACTCTGCTCCCCATAGTGTGATAGTTGATAATCCAAAATCTAAAGAAGAAACTGCAGAGGTGACAAGGAAATCTTGTATTCCAGGATGACTATGGAAGCAAATTTTATATATTTTGCCTTATCAACTTGAGTTTCAATTTCTTCTTCTGATGTTTGTGCATTTGTCATACAGGCCTCAGAAAACTCTTTGTTCTACAATACAGTTTTCTTAGTGTACTTTTTCCGACCTAACTTCTCCACCGTATGCTGGGTCTGAGTGAAGGGGATACCAGTGTGTTGGATAGATGGTCAGAGCAAAGACGAGAGCATGGTGCTCATTCAAGTTAACAGCTGAGTGCATATCCAGCTCTATGTAATCTTCTCTTAAGGACTTTTGGCTCAATGCGTTGGTTGCTAGGGATGGATCAAATAAACAGGCCCCTGACTCCAATTAGAATTGGTGATTTAAAGTTCCTGTACAATATAAAATCTGAATTCATGAAAAATATCTCCACCCAACTATCCAAGTATAAATATATCTGGAAAGCACATGGTTCTCATCTCTGATGTTACTTTCATTTGAATCCTTTGACCATTTTTTTCTTTTCTACAGCTGAAGTCATACAAGGAGGTCAAACTAGTTCTGGTGCTTTTGCCAAATGGAACCCAATCTTCCCCCATCTGAGCTGTGCATATAGTAATATCTACCTCCTTTTGCTCGTGCTGCTGCTTGTGTGGCCATTCCTTAGCTGCCAAAAAATAATTTAATAAAATAAATGACCTATTTTCAGCCAATCAGATCACTGATCTGGCACAAAAGGGGTTGCAAAAATATATATTTGAATCCATGGGATGGTAAGTTGGTAGCTGAATCTTAGAAGAACTTAAGTGCTGCCTATGAAATTGCACTCTATGTATTTTTCGTAGTAATATTTTTATTTGTCACAATATATATATATATATATATCAAATAAAAGTTTATTTTCCAACTTACTAAATCATGACCAAATATATATATATATATATACATATATATATATACATATATATATACATATATATATATATATATATATATATATATATATATATAAATATATATAAATATATATATATTTGGTCATATATATATATAATATATATATATATATTATATATATAAATATATATATATATATATATTTGGTCATGATTTAGTAAGTTGGAAAATAAACTTTTATTTGATAGTAATTTTATCCTACTCTTCACTCCCTCAAATTTTCTTCTCATTTTACTGATTTGTGTGATGTCTTAACTCTGTCACCAATGTCTTCCTTCCTAAACTTGTCTTTGTGCACAACACTGAAGAAACAGCTTTAGTGCAGTAAAAATGCATGCTGTCTGTGCAGATATATGCTTGGTGTAAAGTGGGTGCATTCTTAAATCTGTTAGGTACTTTGTGAATTTAGACGCTGATTGTTAAGGTAAAGATTTTTCTGTCACAGTGCCAAAACACACCCTAGGGATTCAGGCTTACTGAAAGCAATTTATATTGCATGTTTCAGCCCCCAAAATGAATTTGTGCCACAAAAAACAACACAGGACTTTTCTCCACATCCTCCTCTCAACCACATAATCTGGAAGAAAGCTAGTAGAAGCACTTCCATATGGAAAAAAATAGCAGCAGCCAAAACAAGTTGTTCAGCTTATTAGAATCAGTATGAATAAGTTCACTGAAAATTTGGCATGTCTAAATATTATTTTCTAAAGAAATGATTAAATGTTGATCATATTTCTCATTTAAATGAGATTTTGAACAAATGACAAAATATTTTGTGCATGGGGGCAATAAATATTTTCACTGTGAAAATTTAGATTGTTGTGATAATTTCCCAGTTTTGTGAATGGCAGCATTCTAAAGCTAGTAAAAGCCAGAATGGAAAAAGTATAAATTAAAAAAAAAAAAAAAGTCCAAATACCCCAAACTCCAAATGAGAAATTTATCTTTCAGAAAATAATTTCTGGAAAGAGTAATTAGGCTTACTCTTTACTAAAAACTTTAACAAAGTTCTAAGATTTGTATATATAATTCAGGCAAGTATAAATTGTGTGTCAGGCAACACAGGTAGCCTATATTCATGACTGTCATGAAGGCAAACCTTCATGAAAAACAAACAAACAAACAAACAAACAAACACGTGTTTTCATTTCCTAGCACCATGAAGGTGCATCTTGCTGGACTGGCTGATTCAGACCATAATCACAGAGTCATAGAACAACACATTTGGAAGGGGCCAACAAAAAAAATCAAGTCTAACTGAAGGGTCTGAACAGGACCACCCCAAAACCAAACCATGTATCAGAGCATTGTCTAAACACTTCCTGAAATCCAGCAGGCTCAGTGCTGTGACCACTTCCCTGGGGGGCCTGTTCCAGTGCTCAAATACCCTTTTGGTGAAGAAGTTTTTTCTAATAACCAGCCTGAACCTTCCCTGTCACAGCCCTGTTCCCTTGGGTGCTATCACTGGTCACTGAGAACAGGTCAGTGCTTCCCCTTTCCTTGTGAGGAAGGTGTAGGCCACCATGAGGCCTACCCTCAGTCTCCTCCTCTCTGGGCTGAACAAACCAAGTGATTTCAGCCACTCCTCACATGTCTCCCCTGATAGACCCATCACCATCTTCATAGCCCTCCTTTGGACACTCTCTAATAGTTTTATGTCCTTCTTACATCGTGGCACCCCAAACTGCACCCAGTAGTTGAGGTGAGGCCACACCAGCCCAGAGCAGAGCAGGACAATCCCTTCCCTCAGCCTGCTAGCAATGCTGTGCCTGATGTGCCCCTGTATATGGTTGCCCTTCCTGGCAGCCAGGGCACATTGCTGTCAGCTTGCTGTCAAATGGACCTCTCAGATATCTTTCTGTGGGGCTGCACTCCAGCTTGCGCCCTAGTTGTCCAGTATATGAAGGAAGAATATGTGTTACTTACCATTTAGATAAATCAGTCAAATTCAGCTAAGTGCATAGGCCTTCTGCCTTTGAAAGGAGAGTACTGAAGATGGGAGCTGTGGATATTTTCACCTTTATTCTGAAATCCTTGCATTTTGTGTCCCAATTCTGTCCTCTGGAATAATAATATTGTCAGTTTGTAATCACCAACTTCATCTAAATTTCTTCCACTTGAAAAGGCAAGTTCAGGTCTTATATATTCTACCCTGCTTCTTACCCATCACTACATTTACTGAATATTTACTTCCTTACTTTTAACCATTTAACTATTTCTAAAGTTATTGATTACTAAGGTAACAGCCTAGAATCATATCCTTGGCTAATAAAAGCTATTTATGCCAAGGGACATAAATAGTCCAGTGCATGCTAGCATACAAAATGCTTCAGGATAAAAGTTTATTTCTGATGCAAATTAAGTCAAAGACTGATTTTGAAACATTTTCTATGATTAAATCTTGGCCAATCACCATCTACCAGAAATAGCAGTGTTTGTGACTACCTGATTCTCAGTCAAGTTCTCATCTCTTCTATCATGTCAGAACAGGCTTTCCATTAGATGATCCAGGACTTTCTGTCCGGCAAAGTCTATGTTTATGCGTTAGCAAAAGGTTATTGGCACAGGCAACATCAACTGAAGTACATCTTCTTTCTGCACAACTTGTTTTTGCTTAAGACGATCAGGCACTTAAGTGCTTACTGCCAGTTACCTAAATACACTTCCACTCTACCATGAAGGGTAATTATGGCAACCCTGCACAACAAGACTAATTTTGTCTGTCTATAAAATGTTTTCATGGTATACAATTTCCTTGATATTTTGACAGACCAGACTTATGTATATATAAATATTTGTGGTTGCTAAGCTACCAAATATATTTATTTTAGACCTTGTATAATGTTATTTTGAGGCAGAATATATTGCTTTTTTAGACCTCATAGTGAGAGAGGTTTACAGATTAATGTATGCTTTTCTGTTGTTTCCAGTGCAAGTCTTTCTTGAAGTGCACAGAGGTGAGCAAGTCTGACTTATTTTGCTATGGTGTCTTCCCTCCCTTTTTGACTATTTTCTCTAACACATGGCATGTTTTATATAACAGAATCAAAGAGCTTATAATTTGCTACAAAGAGCTTATAATTACTAATACAAAACTAAAGCATGGAAACTAAAAAGTAGAATGTCTATGGTCTGATTTTAGAATGGTATTGGGAAGAAAGAGGGAAAATTGTAGCTATGAGGACAGAGGACGCTGTTGATGAGATTTGACTGAGTCTGACCCCTCCAACCTCCTCTGTGTTGTCATCAGCATATCTCCTGGACTTCCTAAGTCTTTCATTTTCTGGGAGAAGTTTTTGTTACTGGGTAATGAAGAATGATGCAGGGAAGGATGATGAAGGAAGCTTACCTTCAGCAGACAGAACAATGTCTTACTGAGCCTCTCTATTGAGCAGACGGTAGACATGAGTTCAATTACTTTTTCTTTCCTTTTCAGTCTCTTGGCACTCATCTAGCAACACTAAAAACTTGCCAGTTTTTTTCCAAGCCAACCCATCTCCCAGTTTGGATTAATGTTTGTCTGGCATAGGATCAGTCTAACCAATTTCTACTGCCTCTCATAGAAGGGCTCAGAAGGTTAACATCCAGCCACAGAACTACCACCTTGTGCCTCCCTGTAGTATCAACTTTGGGCTATAACTGCCTGACGCACATTAAAAAGTCTTGGTAGGCTGCAATAGATATGACCTTAGAGACAATGCTGATAGTAACATGTATTTAAACTGTTATGTATAGTGTGGATCTGCATTTTTAAATGCCAGTAGGATTTTTATGCATTGAGAGGCTTCATTTTCTCATGTATTCCACTTTCATTTACTCCATTTTAGGGTTCTGGATCATTCTAAAAATCAAATCTTATATGCTAATGAGAGTTGCAGTATAATTGCACTGATTTGTTATCTCAGGTTATCTCATCTAACCTTGTTGTATGGTTATAATATTGTTAATTTTGTTATTTTTGTTATAATATTGTTAATATTGTTATCTCTTCTTATCTCATATAAGGAATTTTCTTGGGGCAAAAGGGATCAAAGTCTGGAAAAGTTCTTTGTACACATTTGTTCTATGCTAGAACAATGTCTAGCACAGCAAAGTCCTTTTCTCTGACTACTGTCCTCAGGTGTTACGGCACAAAAATTCTTAATGCAATGTGTGAGCATCAGTTCAGGTCAGGGTCAGCTCTTGCTATGACTTATCAATACTGTCAGGAAAGAGGTTATTTGTTATCAGAAATGTTCTGTACTTATTCAGTATCATGTCAGTAATGTTACCACTGCAACACTTAAAAAGGAGACAATATATATATATATATATATATATATATATATATATTTTTTTTTTTTTTAAGCTGTAACACACTGTTCTTCCCATATCCTTAAAGCCCTTAGGAAACACTGAATGCTTTGGTTACTCTGTAACCAGAACTGCAGGGTACTTTTGAGTAGAAAGAATAAGACCTTTTGCTGTTGAATTGTGGCAGAATAGTGAACAGTACATGAGAATATTTTAGTTGTGAATGAGGTTGTGTACCAAGTGTGTTCTTACCCACCATTTATTTGCCATTTTAGAAAATAGGTTTGTAAATTACTGTCACTTTTTGTCTTTCTCTTGTACCTTAAATAAGGAGAGATGGCATTCTTCTCCACAACTCTCTCTGAATATGGGATAGCATAAAGATAAATGCAAGCAGTAAACCATTCAGTTGCGGTCTTAGTTCTGGACTGGAACAAGTTGGATTCTTCAAAGACACAAGAGTAATAGGTTATTGGCTGCATTAAATCAGTGAGTGAGAAATCCAGCAGATCCTGGGGGCAAGCCACATATCACATCTGGCTAAAATTCAGAAACTGGCAGAGTTTCACTGCTTTGGGAAATGTAAAGTGAATGTGAAGTTCAACTTCATCAACAATTTTAGTTACTGCTTGGGAAATGGAAATAATACAGATGTCTAGCATTTACAGTCCTGTACCAAAACTTGTAAATCAAGAAGCAAAGCACTGCTAGTTTTCACTGAGTATTCAGTTTCATTATAGTCTATTTCTGTATCCCTTCAGTTTTCTTCTAAAAATAGTGATTGTAAGTACTAAATAGTTTATATAATGTTAAAGTGTATATTCATACATAAGATTGATCACAACAGTGTTTTAAAACATATGTGAGACTGCCACTTAAAATGTTATTATCCCCCTCCCTCCCTCCCCCCCCCCCAAAAAAAAAGTGGATTTATTGGGTTGGATTTATTACTTTATTAATTTAAGCATCCATCAAAATAATATTGTACACATTAAATTATAAAAAACCCTCACATAATAAAACTGTTTTGTCAACTTCATAGCATCACTCTGAACACCAGTTCTTAAAATATAAAGCCATTGTAGTTAATGAAAATATTGTCGTACTATAGAAATTCACCATATCAAACTGATGTTAATCAAAGTTGTCTGTTAAACTTAGAAAAAAATTTACAGCAGTATGCACTGCCTGTCACTTTCACCATCTACCTAACTGAATGAGCTTGTCTCATCAGTTAACTGTTTCTTTCTGAACACCTCTATCACTCTCCATGTATTTATTTTGTACCTCCCGTTTTTTCTTTCTTCCCCAACCCAATCTCAGATTATCCATTATCTGTTTTCATAGAATCATAGAATCATAGAATCATAGAATCATAGAATCATAGAATGGTCTGGTTTGAAAAGGACTTTAAAGATCATCTAGTTTCAACCTGCCTAGAGCAGGTTGCCCGGTCACATCAAACCTGGCTTTGAATGCCTCCAAATATGGAGCATCCACAACCACCCTGGGCAGTTTTCTGTACTCTATGGCTGAAAGTCCACTTTCTCCATAAACTGTTTAATTGTATCTTATCTTTAATTGTATATTATCTTAACTAATAACACGCCCTTTGAGATTTCTCTACTTCCAATCACTTTCTCAATTTTTTTTTTTTTTTTTGTGTTGAAGCCACCCTGCTGTTTTCCAATTGCTTGTCACATTCATAGTCACTTTTTTTTTTTTTTTTTTTTTTTTTTTTTTTAACTTGGAGGATATATGTTGTGGTTATTCTGACTCTTCTTGTTAGCTAGGAACTAGCTGGATTGGGCACTCAGTCTTTATTTGAGGTTTTCAGTGTATTTTGACTCAAAATTTCGTTAAAAATCAAAGAAGTGAGAATGTAACTTGGAAGCATTTTCCTTAACTAGTGATTTTTATCCATCTCAGCCACTTAAATAGAAACCAAAGCAGAGATATGTGACATAAATAAGTGTTTTTTTGTACTGGTGTTGCAATGAAATGAGGAGCTGAAATTATTAGAGTAGAAAACCAGGAATCCAAACAGTGTTGGTTGTGGGGCATTTGTAAGAATAACTCTGTGGTGCCACACCTTTTCAAAACTAGTATTTTTCATGTCATTCAGCTATTATTTGTTCAGATGTTCTACTAGTGTCAGTAGTTGTCAGTGTGGTTTCCCTTATTGCACATATATCTTGTTGCACTTGTATTCTTAATATATTAGTTGATGCCAAAGGTTTGCAGGCGTTTTTCTGCCAGCTGACTTCACCTGTTTCCCAGAAGGAAAGTCTTCTGAATGATCCTCTGATGATTATTTCAGTTCAGTAGTTTGTCCATAAGCAGTCTTTTTTTTTCTTTTCTGTCTTGAACTGTGATGGTTCTGACGGGCTTATATTGTTAATGTGTTCATCTTCATTGTCTTTATTTTTCCTCATATATTTTAAATTTTCTAAATTTCTTAATAAAGCACAGCTATGTCTGTTAAGCATGAGTACTTTTGCTCATGCCTGAATCTGTATTTGGTAATAATGCCTGAATGTGTGTTTTCTCCAGTATTTAGGAGTCTATAATGAAAACTGTGGTTTCAAAAAAGTTTTGTAACAGACTCCATGAGACAAGTCAGTCTTGGGAGGCTTTATGTTTGCAAAAAAATGACTGTACAGCATCTTTTCTTTACACCCTGACAGCAGCACAACTCCTAGGAAGCAGTCACCTTTGTCCATGATCATCAATGAAGACTGAGAGAGGTGTGTGCAATCCAGTATTCAGCCTTTATATTTCAGCACATCCTCTTAGACATTGTGCAGTTTTGTTTTCTCTGGGGTTGTCTTTAGGAGATTAGACAGAACCCATTAATCTCAATAAAGGTTACTGAATCAGACAAAAATTAAACTAGTTTAAAGAAGAGAAGTAGTTTGCTTACAGACTGTAATTTACACACAGAAAACATGGTAAGGTATTTTGCACCTAACCTGATAACACTCTCTGTTAACCCCGTAGTACTCCTGGAGTCCTGTATTTACGTGCCTTTGGTAGGACAAGTATCAGTAAATTTCTTTGGTAGGGCTAGCATCCTCTTTGTACACCAATTGGTCCTCAGAGAGTGTAACTCATAAACATACATGTATCAGGGTGTAGTTTCAATAGAATTTTGGAAAATTTTTGATTGATTTTGATTTGAAAGGAAAGCTATATATATGAATTCTGACCCTAATTTCATCTGGAAGTTTACACTAAAAAATTTCATCTGGAAGTTTACACTAAAAATACACTAACTGTGTTTTCTTTACAAGGGTCTTGGTGATCCCCAGTGCTAAAGGTGACAGTTTTATGTCTATTATGAGAATGATGGTCTTATTATTGTTTATTTCTGTGTTAAATAGCTCATGCTGTGATCTCCAGCAGCAGTAACCTGTTTCAGAAGGATCTCTTACACTTTCCTTTTTTTTTTTTTTTTTTTACTGTACTATGAAAGAGAATTGATTGCCATTGAATAACCACAAAAATTGTCACAGTGTAGACAACATGTGAAGTACGTCTTTAGAAGCATAAGAAACATGCATGTGCACCTAAGAAGTATTCTCTTGTGATAACAGACCAAGACATGAGATTGAATCTGTTTCTGATTAAATTTTAGAACTTGAACCATGTATAATTAATGGCA